GCTCTACCACTGAGCCACCTTCCCAGCCCCTCCTTCAGTTTTTCTATTCTATCTCTGGAACGCCTTTGAATTAAATCTCCTTGATGCTCTTCAATCTTTATTATTATTATTATTTTGGTTGGTTGTGAGGCTTGAACTCTGGGTCTGGGCACTGTCCCTCAGCTCTTCAGTTCAAGGCTAGCACTCTACCACTTGAGCCATAGTGCCACTTCCAGTTTTCTGGTGATTTACTGGAGATAAAGACTCTCATGGGCTTGGCTGCCCAGGTTGGCTTTGAACAGCGATTCTCAGATATCAGCCTCCTGAGTAGCTAGGAATATAGGAATGAGCCACCAGCGCCTGACTCTTCAATCTTCTTATACTAATTTCTCCTATTTTTAATCTATCTCTTTTTGGAAGACTTTTTTTTTTTTGGTCAGTTGTGGGGCTTGGGCGCTGTCCCTGTGTTCTTCAACTCAAGGCAAGCGCTCTACTGCTTGAGCCACAGTGCCTCTTCCAGTTTTTGAGTGGTTTATTGGAGATAAGAGTCTCAAGGACTTTCCGCCTCAACTGGCTTTGAACTGCGATCCTCAGATCTCAGCCTCCTGAGTAGCTAGGATTACAGGAAGGAGCCACCCGAGCCTAGCCGCCTAGCCAACTTCTTCAACTTTCTATTCTAACTTAGTTGAGGCTTTCTTTTTTCAGTTCCTCTGAATGATAAGAACTTTCAGAGAATCACTTGTTGTTCCTAACAACCCAGCCTATCAAGCTATGTTTCCACCCACGAAGAGTTCACTGTACTCAACTGGATTTCACTCAAGACTTTAAAAAAGTCCAAAAAGAAAAAAAAAAAAAAAAGGATTCACAAAAGGGTCCTCATACTAAACAGAGAAGAAAAATTTTAAACCAATCCAAATGAAATCAGAAATAATTTTCCAAAACCACTATTACTCCAGGAAGAAAAAAGGAAATTCCAACTTCTTGGTTTGTTTGGTTTTTTTTGGGTCCAGTTGTGGGGCCTGAACTCTGGGCCTGGGCGCTATCCCTCAGCTCTTCAGCTCAAGGCTAGCGCTCTACCACCTGAGACACAGTGCCACTTCCGGCTTTTTTCTTTTTGCTTATGTGGTGCTGAGGAATCGAACCCAGGGCCTCAGGCATGCAAGGCAAGCGCTCTACCCCTGAGCCACCTTCCCAGCCCCAATTCCAACTTCTTGGATACCCACTCAGAAACAAGTGACTCACAACAACAAATAATCTCAGGTTATCATATACTAAAGCACACAGCATGATGGACTGAGCTAGATATGCAGTCCTCTAGACCTCTATCCCCCAAATACTGATATGCTTCAGGACTCTAACATTCACAGGCTTGACACCCAACACATTTCTACCTTGCTGTTATTTTTGTAGTCTATTATACGTGGATCAAGGTTGTAGGGCTAGGTTAACTCAATGATTAGAAATCACATAGATGTTTCTTAGTCACTGACAACAAGAAGCAATTATTTCACTAAGTGACTCTTACTCTAGTCAACCTGGGCAAAAATCAGTGCATAATCAGCTAACTATAGATAGACGCAGTTCACCCTTGCTATTATGTGTCCATTCAAAAGGAGCCCAAGTTTACAAAGCAAGCCAGCATTCTATCAAGTCAGGCTGGGGAGGCCAGGAAAAGGAAATAAAGGCAGTAAGTACCTGCACTGATCCCCCATGGCGGTCTGCAGCCAAGTGAGACGTCAGGTATGAGGTATTGGTCTGCCGGCTGGGCTGGATTTCCCACTCTCCTCGGCGCTCTGACGATGCAGTCTGCTCAGGCATTAGGAAGCATAAGAGCAAGATATGGAAGGAAAGGTGAAGCAACAGCAAGCAGTAACAAAATCAAGTACATTAGTGCCCCTGTAGCGTTTTGGTTTTTGTTTTAGGTCTTAAACTAACAACTGCTGCAAAGCACTGAGAGAAAGTTAGTGTGGCTACATTCACTTCAGCCTCATGAGCCAATACTCAAGTCTACACCACATCATCCTCATCCAGATACACAAGAAGTTTTGCCCAAAGGGGAGGGGCAGCCAACCAAAAGCTGGAATCACCTTTTAGCTTCCATACTGGTTAAAATTCCAGGAGTCACTAAGCAGATCATACTTAGAATTTTAAGATTCTTAAAGACAGGGCTGGGATTGTGGCTTAGTGGTAGAGTGCTTGCCTAGCATACATGAAGCCCTGGGTTCAATTCCTCAGTACCACATAAACAGAAAAAGACCCAAGTGGTGCTGTGGCTCAAGTGGTAGAGTGCTAACCTTGAGCAGAAAAAAAAGAAGTTCAGGGACAGTGCCCTGGCCCTAAGTTCAAGCCCCAGGACTGGCAAAAACAAAACAAAACCTTAAAACAGTCATTTCACTGACCAAAAATCTATCTGCCTAGACAGCAGTCAGCGGAGAAAATTCCTGCATTTAGCATAAAATAATGTGTTTTCCTTAACTACGGAGGCTACTACTCTCAAGATTAACCTCCATGAGACTTTCTACTGAGATAAAATCAGCAGTGGCTGAAATATGTTTTCTTATGGAAAATGTACAAATTATCTTTTCAAAAGCAGGTTCATTTGTCAAGAATAAGGAAAGATGGCGAATTAAAATAAGGCTTGGGGCTAGGAAGGTGGCTCAGTGAGAAAGTGCTTTCCTTGTATGTAGGAGGCCCTGGGTTTGACTCCTCAGCACCACATAAGCAAAAAAAGCTGGAAGTGGTGCTGTGGCTCAAGTGGTAGAGTACTCGCCTTGAGCTGAAGAACTGAGGGACAGTGCCCACACCCAGAGTTCAGGCCACACGAATGACCCCCCCCCCAAAAAAAGGCTTGTTTTCTTGTTTTTCTAACTTATAACCTCTAATTTGGAATGAAAAAGAGTTTCCTAATTGACATGACCACTATGAATTATCTTGCAGAAAGCAAAAGGAAAATCTTTTCTCAGTAAAAGGACACTGCGTCCACCTTTGCTGCCACTCAGGCTCTCTTCATTCCTTCTTTACCTGTTTTTTAGATCTCATACTATTCTGATCTTGCTCATATGTGACTTTTGTTCTGAAGAATCTGTATTAGGTGCCTCTTCCCCTGGCTGAGGAGGTGTTAGCATCATGATGCTCAGCTGTTACAGTCCTAAGGCTCTACAAAAATGAAAAATGAGTAGTTGGAGAGGCAGCAGTGAGGGATTAGTAAATCAGATTTTAATTGCTGCTAGTATTAGAAATAGCAGCAGGGGATAGGATGGAGATTGCTGCTCTGCATGAAAACCAGTAAGAAGCCTATAAATCTTAGATATTTTCATAACCATTAATGTTGTGCTCTATAAAAAAAGAAAAGGAAGAAAGGATGTAGTGGTCTGAGGCTCTATATTCACTATCTATCTCCAGGACTTGACAGACAAGAGTTGTTTAAAGCTCACCTTTAAGTCACCTCAAAGGTATTTCCCATAAACCATGTGTAACTTGGTCATTATTAATGGAATATGAAGTCACATAGGTGACAGCATTGTAAAGGATCCTGCTCAGGGAATCAGTAGATTATATAAGAAAGCAGCTGTATTAACTTGCTTGCTATGAAATTTTACAAAAGAGGGGTCTGTCTGGTTTTGTACTGATAGTCTAACATTAAAGTCAGAACACTCCAGTGTCTCCTCTGCAATCTCCCTGTGTTCCCCTCCACCCCCGCACTTTAAGTCTTATTAAATTGCTCAGGCTGACTCCTAACTTGAAATCCTCATATCTCAGCCTCCTCGCAAGCTGGGATTACAGATATGCACTACCATGCTGATTGATAGACATTCATTCAGATGTTTAATTTTCCAAAATAAGGTGGCAGTGTATATCATATTCACACTATTTTATAAACTTACTGAAATAATGTGTTATGTCCACAGAACTCTTAATCTCATTTATTCAGATGACTCGGGATCTGAGACTAAATCTGCTTTTAATATTAGAATTAAAATCTAAAGATATTACTCAGAAAACTAGAATCTATAAGTGATAAGTCTCTTCAGTTCCATTTAAGACTTCATATTTTTGTAATATTTCAAAAGAATTTTAAGCTCCTGAATTATTATATAATTCTGTCAGTTGTCAAAAAAATTAAATACTTAAAAAACACCTAGACAGGGGATGGAAGTATGGTTCAAGTGGTAGACTGCCAGCCAATGAGCAAAAGTCCTGAGAAATACTGAGTTTGAGCCAAGCACTGGTGGCTCATGCCAGGAGGCTGAGATCTGAGGATCACTGTTCAAAGCCAGCTCGGGCAGGAAAGTCCCTGAGACTTATCTCCAATAAAACCACTAGAAAACCAAAGTGGCACTGTGGCTCAAGTGTAGAGCTGAGGGACAGCACCCAGGCCCAGAGTTCAAGGCCCATGACCAACAAAAAATAAATAAAATTAAATAACTGAGTTTGAGTCCCAGTCTTGAACAAAGCATCCAGATATTTATTTACAAGCTATTTAGTGTTCTTTAAGAGTTCTATGATACAAATAACTCAACTGATTCTCTCATGAATACTGTTTATACATTGATTTTTCAGGCAGATAAAATTGAAAAAAGATAAAATTGATATAGTTTAATGGTAGAGTGCTTGTCTAGCTTATATAAGCCCTGGGTTTAATTCCCAGAACGGGGTGTGTGTGGGGGGGTGTGGGGTGTGTGTGTGTGTGTATCGGAATGGGCTGAAAACATAAAAACACATACACTAATTTGTATGTGTATTGGTGGGGAAAACAAGCTCTCTCTGCAAGCTAAGCACGTATTCTACCACTGATTATACCACTAACCTTCTTATGCCCTACAGGCAGGTACCAGTGAGAGAGACCTGGTGGACTTTGGTTCAGAAGAAAAAAGACAGAAAAGTTTTTTTTTTTGTCGCTTGTGGGGCTTGAACTCTAGGCTTGGGCGCTGTCCCTGGGCTCTTCAGCTTGAGGCGAGTACTCTACCGCCTGAGCCACAGTGCCACTTCCAGTTTTCTCGTGGTTTATTAGAGATAAGAGTCTCACGGATATTTCTGCCTGGGCTGGCTTTGAACCTCGATCCTCAGATCTCAGTCTCCTGAATAGCTAGGATTACAGACGCGAGCCACTGGTGCCCATAGAAAAGTTTTTGAGAAACCAATTAACTAGCAAAATGTTGGACTGGAGGCTGGTTCAAAGGGAGGAGTTCTAGCCATGAACAATCAAGCTGAGGGCCTAAGAGGCCCTAAGTTCAAGCCTCACAGTACCAACTTTCCAAAAGGCAGAGAGATGATCAATTATTAATAATTATATTATAATAGTATTTCCATTCTTACGGAAATAAACATAACTAGAGCTTGTTTATATAAACTTCTGCTAACTTGTTGGAAGAATTAAGATTTTTATTTTAATGAAAATAGTAAATCCTTTTTCTTTTTACTTTTGGTAGTACTGAGGCTTGAACTCAAGGCATCACACTTGCTACACAGGTGCTCTGCTGCCCAACCATGCCATGCCATGCATGCATTCATACTTAAGCTGCTGTTTCAGTTTCTTCTTGGGTTATTTTGGGGATAGGGTTTTGTTGTATATACAAGCTGGTCTGGACTGCAATCCTATTTAGTGCTTCCCTTTGTTGCTAGAATGACAGATGGGTACCAATATTCCCAGCCATGTGCTTCCTCAGTGGCTTGGGAGAACAGGTATGGACCACTACTGAGATGATTTCTCATGAATTTTTATGTTGGGCTGGTTTCAAACTTAGCTTCTTATTTAGCTAGGATCATAGGATTGAGCCACTTGTGTACAGCTTGGCCTGGCTATTCTTTAGAGAGGGTCTCATTTCCACTGAGATGAATGTTTGGACTTCAATCTGTCTATTTACACTTCTATAAAGCTAGGATACTGGTTGAGAAGGGGATTCATGAACTTTCTCCACCCCACCCCCACCCTGATCCGTGATCCTCACTAACTTAGCCTCCCAAATAGCTGGGATTACTAGCTCGAGGCAACAGAACCCAACAACAGCAAGCTATTTTCAACCTTCTTTTTTTTTCTTTTGTGCTGTTATCGAGGTTTGAACTCAGAGCCTTGTACTCTTTGGCCTTTCTTGCTCAAGGTTAGTGCCCTAAGGGCTGGGAAGGTGGCTCAGTGGTAGAGAGCTTGCTTTGCATGCATGAGGCCTTCGGTTTGATTCCTCAGCACCACATTAGCAGAAAAAGCTGGAAGTGGGGCTGAGGCTCAAGTGGTAGAGTGCTAGTTTACAGCTGAAGAGCTGAGGGACAGCGCCCAGGCCTAGAGTTCAGGTCCCATATGACAAAAAAAAAAAAAATTAGTGCTCCACAGAAATTGAACCAGAGTTCCACTTCCAGCTTTTTGATGGTTAATTGGAGATAAGAGTCTAAAGGAGCTGGTTGCGGTGGCTCACGCCTGTAATCCTCCTCAGGAGGCTGAGATCTGAGGATCATGGTTCAAAGGCAGCCCGGACAGGAAAGTCCGTGAGACTCATCTCCAATAAACCACCAGAAAAAAAAAAAATAGTGGGTGGCACTGTGGCTCAAGTGGTAGAGTGCTAGCCTTGAGCCGAAGAGCTGAGGGACAGTGCCCAGACCCAGAGTTCAGGCCCCATAACCAAAAAAAAAAAAAAAGTCTCAAGGACTTTCTGTGGCTAGCTTTGAATTTCAATCCTCAGCTCACAGCTTCCTAAGTAGCTAAGGATTATAGGTATGAGCCAATATAGTGTGGCTCTCCTTCAATCTATTAATATACACATGGTTTGAAAGTCTTTTTTTTTTTGGTCTGAGATTGGAAGTGGAACTTGGTAACTGACAATTTACTGGCTGGTGCTCTTACCACCAGAGCCACACCTGAATTCTTTTTTTGGTACATTTTTTTATTGTAAAAATGCTGTACAGAGGGGGTTACAGTTACATGAGTAAGGTAGTGAGTACATTTCCTATTGAGTATTGTTGCCTCCTCCTTTGTTTTCCCTGAATTCTTTTTAATCTCCAAGACCATTGCCTGGCTACTACCACTTTCTGCACATAAAAGAACTACTTAAAAATCTTTAGACCTGCTGGGCACCAGTGGCTCATGCCTGTAATCTTAGCTACTCAGGAGGCTAAGATCTGAGGATCCCAGTTCAAAGCCAGCCTGGGCAGGAAAGTCCATGAGACTCTTATCTTCAATAAGCAGAAAACCAGAAGTGGAGCTGTGGCTCAAGTGGTAGAGCACTTGCCTTGAGCTGAAATGCTCAGGGACAGGGGTCAGGCCCAGAGTTCAAGCCCCATGACTCCCCTCCCCTACCCGCACACAAAATCTTTTTTTTTTTTGGGGGGGGGTCCGGTCGTGGGGCCTGAACTCCGGGCCTGAACTCCCTCAGCTCTTCAGCTCAAGGCTAGTGTTCTACCACTTGAGCCACAGTGCCACTTCCAGCTTTTTTCTTTTCTTTTGGTCGGCCGTGGGGCTTGAACTCTGGGCCTGAGCGCTGTCCCTCAGCTCTTCAGCTCAAGGCGAGCGCTCTACCACTTGAGCTACAGCGCCACTTCCGGTTTTCTGGTGGTTTATTGGAGATAGGAGTCTCATGGTCTCTCCTGCCCGGGCTGGCTTTGAACCGCGATCCTCAGATCTCAGCCTCCTGAGTAGCTAGGATTACAGGCGTGAGCCACCGGCGCCCGGCAGCTTTTTTCTTTTTGCTTATGTGGTGCTGAGGAATCGAACCCAGGGCCTCAGGCATGCAAGGCAAGCATTCTACCACTGAGCCAACTTCCCAGCCCACACAAAATCTTTAGATCTTATATTCCTTCTGAAATTAAGAACCAATTGTCCACCCCAGCATTACAGGAGCTTCAAACAGTCCTAACCATTTTCCTAGCCTAGGATTCCTTTATTCATATCAACTATTTTAGCTAAATCAAACTAGACACATTTGCTGCTGTTCATGTATTCTATCTGGTTGGAATGCCTTGGCTGTCACCAATTAATTCTTCTGAGATAATTTCATACAACTTCTGTCATGAAATAGTCTGTCATGCTCTGACTACAATACTCACAATGCTTTTTCTATTGTTTTGTGTTATACTTAACTAGCTCCCTGGCTTATCCACTTGTCAGCTCTTTGAAGACAAGAACTCTTATCTTGTTATCCACAGGACACTTTTATCAGAGCAGGTTCTCAAGCTCAAATAGGGATAACTATGTACCTTTGGCAAACGGTATGGCTTGGTGGGAAAAAAAAACAATAACAACAACAACAAAAAACTATACATTAAAGAGGACACTTGGCTCAAGATCTTTCCCAGCAGAACTCTGCATTCTTGGTAAATGGAATTCTAGCATCTGTTTTTTTTCCCTCTTTTTGTGCCAGGCCTGTGGTTTGAAATCAGTGTCTGGGTGTGTCCCTGAGCTTCTTTTGCTCAAGGCTAATGTTGTTGAGTCTCAACTTCACTTCTGGTTTTTCGTGGTTAGTTGGAGGTAAGAGTAACATGGGCTTTCTTGCCCAGGCTTGCTTCAAATTGCAATCCCAGCTTCCTGAGTAGCTAGGATCACAGGTGTGAACCACCAGTACAGGCTTCCCCACCTCTTCTCCCTCCCCTCCTCCCCCCTTTGATGCTGGTACAAGGGCTTAAACTCAGGGGCTTTTCTGTTCACAACTGGCATTCTACCACTTAAGCCATGCCACTAGTCCAGCACTTTTGGGGGATCAGTCGTAGGGCCTGAACTCAGGCTCTGGGCACTGTTTCTAAGCTCTTTCATTCAAGGCTAGTGCTCCACTACTTTAAGCCACAGCTCCACTTCTAGTTTTCTGGTAGTTAACTAGAAGAAGAGTATCACAGACTTCCCTGCTTGGGCTAGCTTTGAACTGCAATCCTCATATCTCAACCTCCTGAGTAGGTAGGACTACAGGAGTGAGCCACTGGTGCCTGGCTTTAGTCTGACAGTTTTTGTTCATTGAGAATTGGGAAGTCTCATGTCCTTGCTGGGTGTTAGCCTCCAGAGTAGCTAGAATTACAGAAGTGAGTCAATGGTGCCAAATAAATGTATGCATTTCTGTTATTCTTCACCTATATACTTGAGCCTGTGCATCTATGAGATATATTTTTAAATATTTTCTTGTAAAATGTCTGTTCATATGAAAAGAATGGGGTCAAGAGGAAGGGTAGCAAGCTAATTTGTTGTGTGTTAACAGTTATTATATAATCTATAATTTTCTTCATTTATCTATTGATGCTTAGGTTTTTGCTTATTGATTTAGATTACATAAATTTAAAAATTCAGAACTAAAGAACAAATGGCAGAACACCAGCTGTGAGCAAAAAAAAAATAAAAAAAGCCAAGTGAGAATGCAAGGCCTGAGTTCAAGTCATAGTACTGGACACATGCGCGCGCAGGTACGCAAATACACACACACACACAAATACAGAGTTAAAAACTTTTGTTATATTACTTCACAGACACTTAGTCCTTTTTCCCCTTATTTTTCTCTTTTGCAGTGCTGAGAACTACACTCAGCACCTCAAGCATGATAGGCAAGCAAGTGCTCCAACACTGAACTACACCCTTTAGCCCTTTCTAAAAATGTTCTAGATCCCTAGTGTTCTAAACAACTAGTACTGAAGGACAGATAACACTAACACGGTCTTTTCTGATCATGTCTGTCATGATACCTGCCACCTCTAGAATTAATCTGGGAACAGTGGCAACAAGTGGTGTGAAGATTCCAGTTTATACCCAGGTTAGCTGGAAATTCAAATTATCTTCCCCCTCCCCTCTCTTAATCAGTTAGAACAGATCAGAATTGGCATAAGCTTCAGATTGAATTGCAGATGAAACCAAGTGGACTAGCTAGTATATTGGGCTAGTAACAGACTGCCTCATATCCTGAAACACAACCAGTTCCTTTCAATCAGCATACTCTGTCAGGCCTAGAGTCCTTAGATTATATGCCTCATAAAAGGTACCTTTTCCCCTATCTCAATCTAACTACATATGGCCCGAAGGTTACTAGAATGTTACATTAAACCTGTGAGAAATGGCAATCTTTTTCTTCTTTAACTCCAGAATAGACAATAATAGTGAGAAGATGGACAAGTTAGGTTTTAATATTAGCTATGAAGAATGGGCTTGGCTGAAATAATGAAGAACCAACATATACCTGATTTCGAAGAGGCTGTTGCTGTGATGGCCGATCCCTGTGTGTGTGGCTTTCTCGAGTTATTGCAGATGCACCAGAATCTACATGAACTGACCCTACTGGAGTAGGCTGAAAAGATAACAGTCAAATAGGAAAAACAAGTCCAACCTGCTGTCTGTGTAAGGGACAGTATCATTCTAAGTCTCACAGGATATTAGTAATATTTTTCAGCTATTCACCTGTTTCAGTATCTGCTACATAGAGGTCCTGTGGGGCACTGGGAAGAACTATGAATTCAAGTATCTTAGGGAGCTGGGTTCTACTTCTAGAGAAGGCAAGTACCTTCATAGTACTAACTTGTGAATTGTTCAAATAGAACTGACAACCTTCCCCACCACCCCCAATCTAAAACAAAAAACAACAACAAAAAAAACAAATGGAACCAAACTAAATTGGCTTAAGCACTTGGAAGATAAAACAGAAGTTTGCAGCTAGTATGAGCTAACACAGTGAGCCCTTGTTTCTTTACAATTCCACTGAGTGTGGTGGCTCATGCTTGTAATCCTAGCCACTTAGAAGTTGAAGATTGGGAGGAATGTAGTTTGAAGTTTGAGACTACAAATGTAAGACCTATTGGGTACGGAGGAACAAAAGAGGCTAGGAATGTGGCTTAAGTGGGAAGAGTACAAGTACAGGTCCTAAGTTCAAACCCCAGTTTGACAAAAAAAAAACAACAACAAAAAAACAAAAAACTAACTCCTAATTCCAAAATCTTATGAAAGCAACTTATGTCAACAACCTGAAAAGACTGACAAATGTAAAGTCTACACTCAAGGCAATTTCTCTCCCCAATACTAAAAGCAGAAAGATGGGCAAGAGAGGCAGTGCTGGTCTGAGAAAGGAAGTTATGGGGTAAAAAGACACTTACAATAGGTCTCCCGACCCAATCGTAGGCATAGTCAAAGGTGTAGCCTTTTCTTTCAAAAAGGTCTGTGAAGAGGGTCCGTAAATACTCATAATCAGGTTTTTCAAAGAAGTCTAATCGCCTAACATACCGAAGGTAGGTTGCCATCTCCTCTGTAAGGAAAGAATTTTGAAAAGGTTATGCTCTTAGCTAAATGCTTCCCATGGAGGTAAGGTATGGCTCACAGGGATATTTGCAGAAACTGCATGAAATCAGTAACTTCTTTTTGGACCACATAAAAGTGATACAATTACCTTGGTTTGATTAAGAATAAAAGCAAATATAAATTATGTGGAAAGCATTCTACTGCAGTAGTGGACTTGGTCTACTTTGAAGCTTCAATCACACTTGAGTATCCTTTTAGCATCCTACCTGGAAAGTTCTCACAGAGTGCTTCAATGGGAGTATTCCTTTTGGTGTCACCGATTTTTTGATATCTCTCTTTTAATGTATCGGCCTGTGGAAAGTAAAGAAAGGAAGTTACTCAGAAGGAGGTACTAGGTATGGGAGGTTCAATTTTTTCAGACATAATGGTTGTTTTATTCAAATCGGCAAGATGTGTTTTAGTCAATCTCATATTTTTTTTCTAACACTAACAAATAAGTATATATAGAGATGGTGCAAACATTAGATATGTGCAAACGTTTACTGGGTTCTAGAAAGTGACTTGGAAATTTGTCTTGTGTTTTCAGATAAATGCCATTAAGTATGAGATTAAGTTTAGCTAGGACAAGGAAACAGAAATATGTCACATTATTTTCAAAGCTGAAGAAACTCAGTAAATATAGCTGTCCTAATCTAAAAAGCACTGTCTAATACAAGTGAGCAAAACAAATGCAGTTTCACTATATACATACTGAAAAGTTGAATAGGAAAAAAAAGACCAGAAGTGAAAAAAAAGACTCTTCAATAACGTGAATCCAAAAGAGAAATAATTATTTGTGGAATAGTTGTGGCTAATGGCAAGTGTGGTATGTCAGGACCTTGAAGAGGCTGAAATATATAGTACGCTTTGGGACACTACACAGAGCATATGGTCCATGGACCAACAATGGTCTCTTGAGGAATATTCATCTAGCCTGCTTCATCTAGAATTATGCAATAACAGTTGCTAAAGAAAGTTGAAGAGATTTAAAATCTATCACTGCCACTAAAATAATTCATGAACCATGAGAGAGTTTCAAGCAATTAGTAATACCAAACAATAATGTCTTTGTTTTGGCTACATGATGAGCAAATATTTAAAGCTGTTGGGCCTAGGATGTAGCTCAAGTAGTGCAAGCAAGAGGCACTGGGTTCAATCTGAAGGAAAAGAGAAAGGAAGGAAAAGAAGGAGGAAGGTAGGTCACTCAAAAAAATTCTGGGGGCTGAGAAGGTGTTAGAGTGCTTGCCTTACATGCATGAAGCCCTGGGTTTGATTCCTCTGGACCACATAAGCAGAAAAAGCTGCAAGTGGCGCTGTGGCTCAAGTGATAGAGTGCTAACCTTGAGATGAAGACTGAGGGACAGTGTTCAGGCCCAGAGTTCAGACCCCATGACAGAAAAAGAAAAAAAAAAATTCTGTCACTATCAATGAGAAGATGCATATGAGTATGACTAGAAGACATTGGGATGAGATATAAGGAGAGGAACTTGAGGGCAAGGAAATAAAACCTTATTGAAGAGAATGAGGAGCTGAGATTGTGGCTCAGTGGTTGAGCACTTGCCTAGCATGTGTCAAACACTGGATTTGATCCCTATCACTCAAATAGTAAAGAGGGGTGGAGGGTGAGGATATAGAAACCTTACTTTCTAAGACAATGTCCTAGAAAGCACAGCAAAAGCAATGAATCATTTTACCCTCTGGAGAGAGACGGTGTAGGAGTTCTCCAAGCTACAGATTCTTTCTACACTAATATATTGGGGAAAAAAAAAAAGACTTAAGATGGTTAGAAGCTCACCATTTCCTAGTTAAGAGACACAGCAATTATACTGTTTATGGCTATGTTAACTGTGAAACATACGGAAGTGGCGCTGTAGCTCAAGTGGTAGAGCGCTAGCCTTGAGCTGAAGAGCTGAGGGACAGCACCTAGGCCCAGAGTTCAGGCCCCACAACCCAAAAAAAAAAACAAACAAAAAACAAAAAACTGTGAAATATAAGCACTGTTTTGATACCTCTCCAATACATCTTACAAGTAATAGCTAGTGTCTAACATGGTATATTTATTTAATAATGCATTTGAACAGCAATGTTAAATCTGGACTTTCATTTTAGTCAGGTGGGTGCACAGCCTTCACAGGATGAACAAATAGTTTCCATTTCCCCTTAGAAGCATACACTGCTAGCTTTTCTGGTAAAATGTGTAGCAGCTGCTGTCATCTATTTGTTCCAGAAATTCCCTGACATTCTGGGAACACTCCTCCTGCTGGGATAGCATCGCACAGAGAAAGCAGCACTGCCAAGGCTGTGAGACAATGAGAGGAAAGATTATGAAAAACCTAAACACAAAGAGGAAAGGAGTAAGAATGTGAAGACGACAAATGTGAACAGCACAGAGCTCTCAAAGCCCAGGTGGGCATTTCCAAGGTAGGCTAATGTAACCAGTCTGTTTCTCATCTCTGCAGACAACCTCCCCCTTTGTGTTTCTCTGAGACACCAAGCCAACAGCCCCTGCCGTTACAACTGAGCACTTTCAAGGATACCTTGAGTCCTTGCCAGGGTAGGCTGCCTCGGAGGAAATACATGAACATATGGCCTAGGGCTTCCAAATCATCACGCCGGCTTTGCTCTAAAAGGGAAGACAGATCACACGTTATGTTGGCAGTTATTAAAGCAGAAGGAGGTTCAAAACCAAGTAATCCCTTCAGAAACCCTTCTGCTCTGGAAAGGCTCTGCTGACTAATTCTCTGAATATCTAAATCAGGAGTGGTACTTTATATCAAAACCAAAAACAAATGTAGACTTCCTTTTGTCAGTTGCTGGCAGATAAATAGCAAGTACAAAAAAAGCCTAAATTAAAGCCAAACTCTACTCACTAAACAGTGAGTAAACTATTCCTCACTCGATGTTATCACCTGCCCAGAAAGTGAGATAACAAAAATGAAATGCTATTTCCAGTATATAGGCTACAATTACCCTCTCTCTCTGGTTACTCACAGGGAAAGGAAGCAGCAGATTAAGCAGCTGAAGCTATTAAAATAGTCCACTCTGGCAAGGCCTGCAAAGATACAAGCCATAGAAATGCCTGGTGGACATGCTCAGCAAATTTTTTTTGGGGGGTGGGTCCAGTCGTGGGGCCTGAACTCTGGGCCTGGGCGCTGTCCCTCAGCTCTTCAACTCAAGGCTAGCGCTCTACCACTTGAGCCACAGCCCCACTTCCAGCTTTTTTTTTTCTTTTTGCTTATGTGGTGCTGAGGAATTGAACCCAGGGCCTCATGCATGCAAGGCAAGCGCTCTACCACTAAGCCACCTTCCCAGCCCCATCAGCAAATTTATATCCATCATACAAGTGTATACTTCAAAACTCAGTTTCATTAAAGAAAACACCAGTGCATCCTCTCTTAGTTCATATCTGTGTTGTGGAGACATAAAACAATTTGGGAATTCTCGGAAATTAAAACAACCTGAGTGAGGATGATGGCAGAATATTTAAGACATTTTTGCAATTTCATCTCAGAAAATACCTTAAACATTCTTTTGATGTCAGACTGAACATTAGTATATGCCTTTATTTCTGATTTGCTAATTATGATTCATGGTATATGTTTTATGTGTTCATTTTTCAAAATCATGTTTAGGGTTTTAGCAAAAGAAATTATAAAAGCAAAGCTAAGAAGCTACCTCCAACTGTATTTTTATTTCTGAGACAGGGTCTTGGTTTATAGCCCAGAATGGCCTCCAACCTTCTGCTTCCTCTTCCCAAGCACTAGGTTTATAGGCATGCACCATTACCCTGGCCAGGTACTACCTTCACCTTGATGTGGGGTTCCCCCAGCTGTGCAGAAAGCAAAACCCAAGACTGTCACATAGGAGGAAAAGCTACCAAACTAAACTCAAAATAAAGAAGCACAATATGTTTAATTGCTTCATGAAATTATAAGAAATTTGTGTAAGAAAGAATGAATAAACTCCATAGGTTAGATGAAGAAAGAAAACTTTCATAATGGAAAGAGGTCCCTATGACTAGGTATGTAGCTCAGGGTAGAGGGCCTGCTTAGCCTGCACAGGACTCTGAGTTTGATCTCCAACACACAAAAAGAGAGGAAGAAAAGGAAAGCAGGCACCCCCATAGAAAATAAAAACAAGCTAACAAAAAAAAAATGAAGCTGTGAATGTGGTTTAGTAGTAGAGTGCTTGCCTCGCATGCTGAAGCCCTGGGTTTGATTCCTTAGTACCACATACACAGAAAAAGCCAGAAGTGGCGTTGTGGCTCAAGTGGTAGAGCACTAGTCTTGAGCAAAAAGAGGCTCAGGGACAGTGCTCAGGCCTAGAGTTCAAGCCCTGGGACTGGAAAAAAGAAAAAAAGTAGTTTACACGCACACACACACACAAACTAAACATCAGACCTGGCCTACACGGCTTGTATGATTTTTGCAATAAAAAATATATAATTGAAAAGCCAAGCACTGGTAGTTCATGCCTGTAATCCTAGCTACTCAGAAAGCTGAGATCTGTGAATTGTGGTTCAAAGCCAGACCAGGCAGGAAAGTCCGTGAGACTCTTCGATTAGTCCCCAGAAAACCAGAAATGACACTGTGACGCAAAGTGTAGATCAGGGACTGTGCCCAGCCAGGTCTCAAGTTCAAACCTCACAACTAACCAAAAAAAAAAAAAAAAAAAGTGTGTGTTTAATTGAAAACAAACCTAATTCGATGAAAACTGTTAACAGAACATAAACAGAATTGAAAAGCAGTATGTGTGAGTTTCTAATACCTTGTACAAATAAAGCAACACAGAATAAAGCAACGCAGAAACTGTAGCAAATTCTCAGACTGAATCATTCCTTATCATCTCTCCATTTTTATATCTACTTCCTGTGACAAGAGGTCCTTGGATAATAAAATATTCACTAAACAAATGGCTGAATTTTAGCTGAGCACTAGAGGGCGAACTATCTACATCTTCAGAATTAACAAGGGAAAATTTCATAGCAGAGTCAATTATAAAATGAATTTTTAAAAATTCAAATTAAGTAGAATAATACAGCAAATTTAAAATCCTGAGAACCATAAATAAATAGCTATAGAAAATTGAATAACAGGAAAAACAACAGTTACTAAATCAGATCAATGACCTTGGTTTTGGCTCATCCTTTCCATTAATTTAACTCAATTAAATTAAGTCATTAATTAAGTCATCAATTTTGGCCCTCAATTTCCTCATCTAAAATAGTCTAAAATTCTAAAATAATTAATGACAAACAACTAGGACATTAAAAAAAGGAGTGAAAAATAGGAACATACTTTTTACACTTTGGGGGTTTTGTGGGTACCAGTCCTAGGGGCTTGAACTCAAGGCCTGAGGGTACTGTGGCAGAGCTACATTGCTCAAGTCTAGCTTACTACCACCGGAGTCACATCTTTACTTTTTTTTTTTTTTTGGTGGTTAATTGGAAACAAGAGTCTTACTGGACTTTCCTGCCTAGACTGGCTTTAAACCATGATCCTCAGATTCCCAACCTCCTGCTACAGCTAGGATTACAGGTGTTGAGAGCCACTGGAGCATGGTTCTCAACACTTTTTCTTATTCAATATTTCCAGATGCCCTCTTCACTTGTTCTGGGAAGTCATTTTCATTTTCAAAAAAAAAGGGTTCTTCACACCATCCTTTATGATCAGAAAGATATGCTTGATGATTTATCCTTAATTTTAATACGATTTTAGATTAAATGTATTTTGTTCAAAGAAAGACGTGATTGTAACCCATTATTTCTTACCCTAATTTTAACTACAACATCCCTCAAATTAGGCTGTCTCAATCAGGGCTTAGACAGCGGAGAAGGTAGTTTATCTAATTTGGGAATGTCAGAGTGGGGAGCTTTTTCCCATGTCCTGCTCCATTATAAAAGAGCAGTTCTCTCCAAGTCATTGGACAATACATCTCTCCATGTTTTTTCCCTCTCATTATATATAAAAGATGCAACATATTTAGAAATCAATAGAATTAGAGCTCCTATGCAGACCTCTGGGGTTTGATACCTGAGACAGAATTTAAAGGGTAGCAATACTTATTCTCAGCATTGTGGAGGAAACAAAGCATGGTGGTGGGTTGGATCAGACTTGAAAAACTGTATCTGAGGAAATCAATCCAAGTCTGAGATAAATTTAAAGTTCTAGATAGCAGTAATGACAGCACAAGAAGAAATGAAGGACCCTACTCTGATACAGAGTAGGTGGCTTAGGACAGACTTTTTTGAATAATTAATAATAAGGATGATTACCATATGGAGTGGCCTTGCTATTATCAGGCACTAGGCTAAACACTTTTATATACATTATTCCACAAACCTTATGTTTATGCATATTAATCACTATACAGGATGTATGTTAAAAGAACTATTTTCACATCCATTTTATAGATGAGATAACCAAAGCTGAGGGAGGACCTTTACAGGACCAAAATCACAACTACTACCAGGTAGGATCTATATTTCTTTTTCTTTTTCTGGGGGGGGGGGGTCCGGTCATGGGGCCTGAACTCTGGGCCTGGGCGCTGTCCCTCAGCTCTTCAGCTCAAGGCTAGAGCTCTACCACTTGAGCCACAGCACCACTTCCGGCTTTTTTCTTTTTGCTTATGTGGTGCTGAGGAATCGAACCCAGGGCCTCATGCTTGCAAGGCAAGCACTCTACCACTGAGCCCCCTTCTCAGCCCTATATTTCTTTTTCTTAATCATTGAAGCATACCTTATATAAACTAAGGAGATAACAATCCTGTATCTATTCTTGATCCTCCTGACAATAATAATAAAATCAGGATAGAAGCCCAGGAAGCATGGATTAGATCCATAACCTCTAGAGTTTGTCAGTTAAACACTTATGACTTTACCGTAAGACTCAGTCTTTCTCCTATAAGCAGATAATTCTCCACTCGCCACCCCCCCTCACCATCCCCCCGTCCCCTGTTGTGGGGCTTGAATTCTGGGTCTAGGCGCTGCCTCCCAGCTCTTCAGCTCAAGGCAAGTGCTCTACCACTTGAGCCACAGCACCACTTCCTCAGATCTCAGCCTCCTAAGTAGCTAGGATTACAGGCGAGAGCAACCAGTGCCCCCAAACTAACCAATTTGTTTTGGCATGAAAATGAGGACAACCTTCCAGTCTAATCACATTTAATAAAGAGGATTTCCACATGGTTGAAAACATTCTGACAGTATTCATTATTTCAACTGTTTTTTTTATCATACTATTTGTAATGTCTTCTTTTTTTTTTAACCATCATTAGAATCCTGACCTGAATACTTGCAAAATTTATTTGATGAGGCAACTTAGTAGACGCTATAGTGGCCTTCAAAATACTTACTAGTATGTAACAGCTTTGCATTTATAAATCTTACATAACTAGCTCTGCAAAGAGTATAGAAACTGATAATATTCTCATTACACATAGTTTTTCTTTTCTTTTGTTGTTTTTTGTCAGTCATGGGGCTTGAACTCAGGGCCTGGGCACTGTTCCCAAACTCTTTTTTTTTTTTGTTTTTGTTTTTGGGTCCGGTTGTGGGGGCCTGAACTCTGAGCCTGGGCGCTGTCCCTCAGCTCTTCAGCTCAAGGCTAGCGCTTTACCACTTGAGCCACAGCGCCACTTCCGGCTTTTTTCTTTTTGCTTATGTGGTGCTGAGGAATCAAACCCAGGGCCTGTAATCCTTGCTACTCAGGAGGCTGAGTTCTGAGGATCACAGTTCAAAGTGAGACAGCTCAGTAAGACTGTGAGACTCTTATCTCCAATAAAGCACTCAGAAAATCAGAAGTGGTGCTCTGCCTCAAGTGGTAGAGTGCTAACCCTGAGCTGAAGAGCTGAGGGATAGCATATAGGCCCAGAGTTCAAGCCCCATGACTGACCCCCCCCCCAAAAAAAAAAAGACCTACTCAATCTTAGTGAAGCCTTCTTTCTCAAAACAGACACTAGCCTGGTGCCCTCTCTCTCAGGACTGTAATACATGAGGACTTTACATATATAAGTACCTGACCTACAATTATACTCACTCAAATACTATTATTTGGTTACAATAATCCACAATCTCACACTATGAGAAATGAGGTACCTAGAACCATATGTGAAGAATTAAGAATTCCTAAGTAATCAATAGGGTAACTGGTAAAATTATTAACTACCATTTCAACTTCTCAAATATAAAAATCACTTACCTTGGACTAGGAATGTAGTTCAGTGGAGTGCTTGTTGAGCATGCATAAGGCAAAAAATAAAAATAAAATTCACTTACCTTTTAAAGCAACAAATACCACAAGTTGTAATGCATGGGGATAAAAGTGTTATTGGAACAGAAAGCTGTTCAAATGACCTGCCCCGTTCATGGAGAAGAAAATAAACACACCTTTGCCAAGATGTGTGTTGATAGACATATATCTTGCAGTTCCAGTTAAACTTTTGTGCTCCCTATAAGGTATGTGTTTTTTGGTTTCAGGATCAATGTATTCCTTGGCCAGTCCAAAGTCTATAATATGTATAACATGTTCTTTCTTATTGCCTTGTCGGCCGATCAGGAAATTCTCTGGCTTGACATCTCGGTAAATGAGATTCTTTGAGTGTACATATTCCATTCGAGAAAGCTAAAAAAAAAAAACATGATAGAAATACTTTAAATAAGTATATTTTTTAAAATGTCCTTTCTTCCCTCTTTCCCTTCCTTCCTGCACAAGACTAGCCTAATTTACTTGTTGTAAAAGTTCTAAGAAAAATGAGGGCCAGAGAAGTTAATACTGGCCTGACATCAGTCAGTCAATAACAGAAGCAGGACTACAGTTTTTATGTTATAGTAAATACAACCTAAAATAATAATCACCCAGTATTATTTCAAATTTCATTAAGCTGTTCTACTTAGTATAAAAGGGAATCTTAAGCAATTAGATTGTAAATTCAAAAGTAAAGTCCATCTTTTAGTAGTTCCAAATGTTTTCTGAGTAATAGGTGAGTCAATCACCACTTCTTCAAACAAAGATATATTTGAGTCTTTCTTCTGAGAGCCTAACAAACTTCTCAAAAGAACTGTCACAACTGCCCTTGGCCAACCATTGTATATAATACACTAAAGAACTAAGGCAAATACTTCATCACCCAACTTTGAATGGAGGTTAATCCACTGTGTTGTATTGTCAATATTTTGGAATTTGCAATCTTAGGAATACATGATATAAATTCTATGTGTTTGAGAGCTATAAATGAAACATTGAAGAATTTATCTGAATTTGTCAAATTCCACCCAATCATCCTCTTTCCCTGATAAAAAAAAACTGCATGTTTCCAATTAAGTTAAGCAAGGTATTGCTTCAATGCACAAACTCTTAAAAGTAAACTACAGATTGTGTGAGCTCTGAGTAAATCATCTGCTCCTCCTCCTTCCTCCCCTCCCTCGCTGCTCCTCCTTCTCTTCCTTCATTTCTTATTTGCCTCAACTAGCTTCTTAAAATTCCATCAATCCTGTACTAACTCACTAGGTATTTACTACAGCTAACAAATTGACACCAGAAGGCCTACAAGGGTCCTGGTTAGGAAAGCTGCCTATCTTCTGGAATAACCAATGCCAACCTACCAATTGAATAGCAATCATTAACACTGTCTTCAAAGTAAATGTTCGGTCACAGAGATCAAACAAATCCTCCAAGCTAGGGCCAAGGAGCTCCAGCACCATGGCATTATATTTCCCACACGGCCCAAAGTAGTATACCTGTGGGAGACCTTCACCTGAAAAGAGAGGAAATGGGGTAGAGTAGGAAACACAAAAACAAACATATAAGATAACTGCATCACCAATGATTATGACATTAATTAAGTATAATTGGAGAGATTTCAGTTTCCTTTTATAGTCCTATTAGAAAAGTTAGAGTGAGCATAATAGTGTCAGTGAGAACTATTAATGGGTCGAAAGGGCTAAGTCATTTTACAATATGTTCAGATGAGCAGTTATTTAATATTAGAGTGCCAAAAGCATTTCCACTACTACTATATATAAAAGAGAATAGTCCCTGATCCATTATTGGATCAGCATGCAAACTATTTTTCTCAAAGGATGCCTGGAAAGTGCAATATCATAAAAGGTTCAAAGGACGGTTCGATGAGCTCAAAGGCCAGGCTACAGACCTTGCTACATTAGCTGATTTCATTAGCTACATGGAGTTGTCTGTAACTGCTACTCCAGAGAGTTCAGACGGAAGGAACATGGCCAAAAAGGGTGCAGCTGGCCCTAGGCCAGCACAACTGGTCCCTTCTCACAGGGAACCTACACAATGTTCTGTTTTCTATCAACTGGAAAAGTCAATTGACACTTAGCATTTAGTTGCTGATAAGTAATTATGCAAGGAACAGGAGGAACGAAAATATAAAAAACAATAAAGCTAGGTTTACTCCAGATTTGAAATTTGTGGTTATAAGAAGTCAAACTAGATTTTTCTCACCTAAATTACAACTTGTGAGTCAATTTCCTTACTTTTGTACCAATACTGGGGTTTGAATCCAGGGCCTGGGCACTGTCCCTTATCTTCTTCACTCAAGGCTAGCTAGGGGCTGGGAATGTGACTTAGTGGTAGAGTGCTTGCCTAGCATGCATGAAGCCCTGGGTTCAATTCCTCAGTACCACATAAACAGAAAAAGCTGGAAGTGGTACTGTGGCTCAAGTGGTAGAGTGCTGGCCTTGAGCAAACGAAGCTTAGAGACTGGCAAAAAAAAAAAAAAAGTGGGGAAGGAGGCTACCTAGCACTTTACCACTTCAGCCATAGCTCCACTTTGTTTTTTGAGCAGTTAACTGGAGCTAACCATGTCATGGGGACTTTGCTGCCCAGGCTGGATTCGAACCTTGATCCTCAGATCTCAGCCTCTTGAGTAGCTAGAATTACACATATGAGCCACCAGCCCTAGCTCTGATTTTCTTTTGGTAGTGTGTTACAAATATGAGACATTCAATAAATGTGTTAAATGGAACCAGGAGAACAGTAAATGGTTATGAGACCATGAATATGGTCCAATCAATCTTATCCTTTTCTCTTTTATCTCTTTCCCTCTTTCTTAAACAATTTCAACATGGAGCTGGGCACCGGTGGCTCACACCTGTAATCCTAGCTACTCAGGAGACTGAGATCTGAAGATAGCGGTCCAAAGCCAGCCCAAGCAGGAAAGTCTATGACACTCTTATCTCCAATAAACCACTCAGAAAGCCACAAGTGGCATTGTGGCTCAAATGGTAGAGCCCTCACCTTGAGCTGAAGAGCTGAGGGATAGTGCCCAGGCCCAGAGTTCAAGCCCTATGACCGACCAAAAAAAAAAAATTCAACATGGTTAACTGCTCTATTTTCATACATGTAAGAAAACTATCTTAGAACATATTCATCCCCATAGAGGTATCTCAGCAGGTACCCACTGCCCTCAACAGAGCCTATTTTAGTTTCCTGTGTTTTTTTTTCAGTGTGTATTAAGATTGCATCAAGGGGTTCACCATAATTATTTCAGACACACATATTGTGTTTTGATGCAACTACTAATTCTAAAAATTTCATCCTAACATACAGAAAAAAATTGTATCCCACACATTTACAGAACTTTTAGAACTTTATAACTTTTCTAAGCTGGACACTGGTGGCACACATCTGTAATACTAGCTGCTCAGGAGGTTGAGATGTGAGACTCTTATCTCCAATTAACCACCAAAAGCCAGAAGTGCAGCTGTGGTTCAAAGTGGTAGGCACTAGCCTTGAGCGCACAATAAGCTCAGAAAAAGTACCCAAGCCTTGAATTCAAGCCCCAGGACTGGTGAGGAAAAACAAACAGAAAAACCCTCCTTTTCTAGAACCACCCTACCCAATGCCTCTTTTTCAAATCTGTCATCCTAGGGAAACTAGAAAGTTACATATGCCCAGGTTGCTTTTTGCTTGTTACTAAACAGGGAAAACTAAAAAATAGATAGTAGGCAGGCAAGGAATAGACTCTACCGCAACTAGCCTTGAAGGATAAAATACATTCAGAAAATAAAATTTCAGTGATGTCAAAAACTATTATAGGGGCTGAGAAGTTGGCTCAGTGGTAGAGTGCTTGCCTTGCATGCCTGAGGCCCTGGGTTCGATTCCTCAGCACCACATAAGCAAAAAGAAAAAAGCCGGAAGTGGCGCTGTGGCTCAGGTGGTAGGGCACTAGCCTTGAGCTGAAGAGCTGAGGGACAGTGCTCAGGCCCAGAGTTCAGGCCCCACAACCGGACCAAAAAAAAAAAACAAAAACAAAAACAAAAAAACAAAAAAAACCCTATTATATAGAACATAAATTTAAATAAAAATATTCTTAAATCCCACCTGCCATGTATCTGATAAATAAAATCTGTAAATCTCTAGGATAGAGTTCTGAATTGGATTTCTCAGCAAGACTCATTGTCAGGTTTTGTATATTTCAAATAAACTGAAAAATGAGCTCTTCAAAATAATTGGGGGGAAAAAAAGGGCACTTCAAATTAAATCCATTTTTTCTTTGGATATAGATAGACTGGAAACAACTATAAATTAGTAAGAGTGGAGTATATATACTATATTCGATTATACAAAATTAGGAATGAACATATTGACAGAAAACACTCAAGTTGTTTGTATTATATTGTTTTTATTAATAATGGAAGTGGAGCTGTGGCTCAAGTGAAAAAGCTTAAGCAAAAAAGCTAAAGGATAGCAACCAAACCCTAAGTTCAAGCCCTAAAATGTGGCATGGCACACACACACACACACACACACACACACACACACAAAGATAAATTGGATTGGAGGATTGGCTCAGTTGGTAGAACACTAGGACAATGAGTAAAAATGGTTGGTACCAAGTTCAAGTCCTGGTCTTGGAACCAAAAAAAATAATAATATCATACTTCACTTCACGAAGTTACATATGCATACATCATAGCAATGGTTCTCACATTAATTGTAGAACCTGGGAAAAAGAATTGAATGTATATTACCTCTGCTTATATTTCACCCATACAAAAAAAAAAAAAAAAAAGCCAGGGCTGGTGGCTCATGCCTGTAATCCTACCTACTCAGTGGGCTGAGATCTGAGGATAATGGTTTGAAGCCAGCTAATCACAGAAAAAGCTGGAAGTGATGCTGTGGCTCAAGTGGTAGAGCACTAGCCTTGAGCAAAAACTGGAGCCCAGGACTAGAAAGAATGAAAAAGAAAAAAGATAGAAAGGAAGGAAGGAAGGTAGAGAGGATTTTACTGTCTAAAAAACAATGGAGGGAGCCAGGTGCCATGGCTCACGTCTGTAATCCTAGCTACTCAGGAGGCTGAGATCTGAGGATCACGGTTCAAAGCCAGCTAGAGCAGGAAATGCCGTGAGACTATCTCCAATAAACCACTAGAAAACCAGAAGTAGGGTTGTGGCTCACACAGTAGAGGGCTTGCCTTGAGCTGAAGAGTGCAGGGACAGCACCCGAAGCCCAGAGTTCAAGCCCCACAACCGACAAAACAAAAAACAAAACCATGGAGGGAGAAAAAAACAGTAAGAGACCAAAGTTCTTTTAAGAGAGCAGACTCAGTAGAAATATGATGCTTCTGGACATCCAGAAGCAATCTAGAATAACCAGGTACCTTAAGGATATAAGATGGTACAAGAATGGACAGAGCAAAAAAAAAAAAAGAAAGAAAAGAAAAGAATGGACAGAGCAGGGCTGAGAAGGTGGCTCGGTGGTAGAGTGCTTGCCTTGCATGCATGAAACCCTGGGTTCAATTCCTCAGCACCACATAAGCAGAAAAAGCCAGAAGTGACAATGTGGCTTAAGTGGTAGAGTGTTAGCCTTGAGCTGAAGAACTGAGGGACAGTGCCCAGGTCCAGAGTTCAGGCCCTATAATCAGCCAAAAACAAAAAGAATGGACAGAGCAAAATGAGAAGAATTTGAGTACCTGACAGCTGCAGAGTAACTATGCAATGTTTGACTTCTGTTTCTTCTAGGTTTTTCTACTCTGAAAGAAAAATAAGCTGGGTGCTGGTGGCTCATGCCTATAATCCTAGTTACTAAGAAGGCTGAGATCTGAGGATCATGGTTCAAAGCCAGCCTGGGTAGGAAAGTCTGTGAGACTCTTATCATCAATTAACAACCAGAAAACCGGAAGTGGTGCTGTAGCTCAAATGGTAGAGTGCTTGCCTTGAGCTGAAGAGCTGAGGGACAGCGCCCAGGCCAAGTTCAAGCCCCATAATCACAAAAAGAAAAAAGAAAAAAAAATTTCTATCTTAGCTGAACTAGTCGAACTAGCTGAACTATATGTGTGTGTAAACATATATATGCATGTGTGTATATATGTATCTGTATATATACACATATATATACATATATAAACAGCCAAATATAATCTAATTAATAAGCATGACTTTTGTTGGCTAACTTGAAAATCTGGGTACAATATCCTCCTTCTAGAGTACAAGCTAAAAGTCAGGCCTGCTTAGAAATGTAATATTAGCATAATGTCCCAGACTTGCTGCCAGTACTCAAAGATCAGTTAAAATGAGACAAATGATCATCTTGTTCTCAATAATCCTCAATATCAAATCTAGGTATCTCTTGCCAGGAGTTTTCACATTCAATAAGAATCCACAAAAGTATTTGGGGGTAATATCTGTAATTTCTAGCTACACTGTTAGTTATAACTCCTGCCTAGGAAATAAGGAGTTCCTGCTTGCTGCATGATTGCCTTTTATTAAATACCCTGAAGCTGCACAATGG